TGGATCACTTTATAAAAAGCATATAATGACTTCCTTTAGTGACTGGCATTAACCAGTGTCATCTTTGGTATAGATTGCATGTTGTCTATTCAGTCCAACCTTTCTGGGGAGATTTTTCTGACTAGACATTTAACAGGGTCATATTATTTGCTCACCTAAAGCATTAATAGTTGGTGATCAGCTCTTTGTCAAAGATACATGGTTTTGACCAATTTCTAGGAATTTAGATACAGTTAGTTCATTATTATATACGTAACACTTAACTGAAGTTCCTGGTTTGGGAATTGGTTGGCAGAGCAGTAGAGGGAAGGATGATACGAGAAATGGTGGGGGTGGAGGGAAAGGGTGTGGGGGAGGAGAGAGAAAGACTGCAGTAGTGGGCTCCTGCGCCTTGTGACTCCACGTAGGTTTGTTGTGATTTGGGGGGTGGATAGGAATTTGATCTGTGGATTTTTGGCTTTTGGGCCACCACAGTGTTATCTTGACCCACAAATATGCAAATCACATCCTAATCACTTGACCTCTTTGGTCCGGTATTTGCTTTGCCTTTTCCTTCCAAAGAAGCTGTTATGCTCTATCCCTTTTTTCTCTGCGATTCAGACTTGCTGTAAACACTCTCCCACACATCCCTTTGATGAAGGGTTGCTGGACCTGAGCCAGTTTATTATTTCAGGTCTTGTTCTGCAGCACTGCACATAGCAGTAATGTGAAACCTCTCCAATCCCGTGCCACCTAAAGGTGATCTACTGAGGTCTAGAATCCTTTGTTTAAAATGCAGGTGGCCAGGCAAAAGATTAAATTGGAAAGTCATTGTTTAGTATGAGAGGAGAAGAACTAGTATCTCCTGATCTCCGCACAGAATTGCCATTCAAGGATCAAATACACATCCTCAAAACCTAAGATCATGACTCCGGCTGGGTTAAATGCCCCTTCTCAGTGCTCCCATGTTATCCTGTATATATAATGTCCTTATTTCTGCGCTTTAGTTTGTGATTGCCTGCTTCTCTGCCTTTGCTTCCCACTCACACACCCTGCTCTTAAGTCATGAACTCTTGAGGATGAAGACTGACTGTGTTGCCACTCTGGCCCATAGTAGGTTCTAAAATAAATATTTGTAGAGTATATGAATTTTTATAGAAGGAAAGTTAGATTGCCAATTGATCTTCAATCCTGGTAGAATGTTTAAAATTTCCCCCTCAGATGGCTTTGTTCCCAACAATATTTTACCACTATAATACAGATTTTTAGTAATAAATGTCATTCAGATTCAGATAATACAATTTAATCAGTCAACCTGTATTTCTCATTGCCCTGTAAGTTAATTAGAGCCTGAGTTCTAAAAATGAAAAGAACTAGAGTTTAGTCCTCTGGACCTTCTAAGTGATCTTACCTCAAACACCTCCCCCACTAAATCCTCTTAGTTCCCTTGTTTACTCTTCAGCATACCCTATTTATTCAGTGTAAGTGCACTGAGACTCTGATGTGCAGGCAGCCACTGTATAGGAGCACATGGTTTGATGGGAGAGAGGCATATGAGTCAAGGGTTATAGTGTATGTAGTATGAGGGCTATCATTGAAGTACATACAGTGTGGAATGTAGATCTAAGAGGTGGGACTGTTAGGGAAAGGTGGTCCGAGAGAGTGACATTCATGCAGAGTCTTCAAGGATGAGGAGTTGAGATTTGAGGGAAGGGGATAAGCATGACAGGGAAAGGGAATAGCATATGGAGAAAACTAGAAGCATGTAGACACAGAAGTGACAAGTATATATTCAGGGAATTCTTAGAAGATGAGGCCAAAGGGAAAAGGCAGGCCTGAATAGATGCCTGTGAAGGAGTATGGAATTTAACCTGTAGGCCAGAGGGGAAGTCATTAAAAAGTTTTCAACAGGTTGTGTCTGCTTTCAGCTCAGGTCACGGGTCCTGGGAACAAGCCCCGTGTCAGGCTCCTTGCTCAGCGGGGAGTCTGCTTCTCCCTCTCCCTCTGCCCTTACCCCCACTTGTGCACGTGCTCTCTTTCTCAAATAAAATCTTTTAAAAAAATTTTTTTTCAACAGAGGAATGACATGATCTCACTGTTCCCTACCTGTGTCTTTCCTTCAGGGACTTTTGTGACCTGTGTTACCCTATCATTACTATTACTTTCTCTACTAATGAGTTATGCCAAATTAATTCATTTGGTTAGAGTAAAATGACTTTAGGTTGCAGTTTAGAACATTCTAAAACTGAAAAAAAAAAAAAAATTCTAAAACTCCAGAAATGTCCCCTTCCCCACCTTCCACCAAAAAAAAAAAAAAAGAATTCTGTACCATGGCTAGATACTGTGAGCCTAATCCCATCTCGTTACCTGACAAACTGACAGACTGAAGATCTCATTCTGTTCTTACTGTTGGAAAGGAAATAAAGAGTGACTTTTCATTAAGAAAACAGAATATTCCATAGCCTTATACTAATTTAACAAAATGAGTATGGACTATACATGAAAGCAACTGAATTTGTACACTTGAGACTTCACTATCTTGTGTTTAACCCTTTTGAGGCTTTTCATGTTCTGTATCTGGCTTCTGAATGGGCATGCTAGACTTGAAGTCCAGAGAGCTCCTGTCTCACAACCACAGCACTCCCAGCAATTGCTCTTTTCAGTTTTGACCCAGAGCAGTGCAGCCAGTTGTTTGATTGTTTATGTCCAGGTTCATAGCCAGCCTCACAGTAGATCATCCTTTGGGATTTTACAAAGATGTCATTCTTGGCATCTAAACTGAAAGCCCTTTGTGTTCCAGCACATCATTTTCCCTTTATGAATACTGTTTAATTAGAAAGTAGCTTATGAACAGTGTCTCATTTTAAAAATGTGATTTGAAGTGGCAGATAGCAGATGTGCATATTACCTGGATGGCTTGAGCCTTTATGCTTACTCATTGGCACAGATCCCTTAGTGAGGGCAACTGCAGAAAGTGTGGGAGGCAAGCAGGCTTCTTCCTGGGGAAACCCAGGCCTCATTTGATTCATTGCTGCCACCTGCTGGGCTGTGGCTGCTGGAATGGGAAGGCCACACCGGTAGTCCTGCTAAGCCCATCCAGGGCTGTGTAGTTCCAGTGTTAATCAGCTGTTGTTTCTAGGTGAAAACCCACCCCTAAATGAAAGGATCTAAACAGTAGAGCATTGGGCGCCTGGGTGGCTCAGTTGGTTAAGCGACTGCCTTCAGCTCAGGTCATGATCCCGGGGTCCTGGGATCGAGTCCCACATCAGGCTCCCTGCTCAGCAGGGAGCCTGCTTCTCCCTCTGACCCTCTCCCTGCACCCCTCAAATAAATAAATAAATAAACAAAATCTTTAAACAGTAGAGCATTATACCAGTCAGTGTAAGGTGGTATTCGATTGTGTTTGTTAACACAGAATCCCCAAGCAGTTGTGAGGCTCATAGAACTAAGCAACACTTCGAGGACTCAAGATCCTAGAGTGTTAGAGCTGGATGAACCCTTAAAGCAGATGCATTGGAGCTATAGTGTAGTTAAATCAGAGTCTCTTAGAGGCTTGTGAAAATGCAGATTCCCAGGCCTGGCCCCAGAGATTTTGATTCACTAGGCCTAAGATGAGAGGTTTATTTAACAAGTTTCCCATGAGGTTCTAGGGCAAGTAGTCCAGCCCTAGGAAGAGCACTGCCTTAAACATTATCTCTGTAAGAGCTTCTCAACCATTTTTCTAATCAGTGCCTCCTTTCAATAAGTAAAAAAATATTACATCTCCTATCAACAGGGTGAGTCACTGGTACTTTAACTGGTTCTCTGAAGCATATACACAAAATATTACTAGATTGGTTCTGCAGGGGGAAAAGCACTTTTTAAAAGATTTTATTTATTCATTTGAGAAAGAGTGCATGAGAGAGAGAGGGACGGAGGGCACAAGCAGGGGCAGGGGCCGATAGAGAAGCAGACTCCCTACTGAACAGGAAGCCCAACCACGAGGATGCGGGGCTCGATCCCAGGACCCCAAGATCATGACCGGAGCTGAAGGCAGACACTTAACCGACTGAGCCACCCAGGAGCCCCAAGAAACACTTATAAATAATTAACTTTTCTCTCTATCGCCAAGCAGGAAGTACTATAATTTAATGGGTTAATTTATAGTGGAATGCTTTTTGGCTTTGGGCATTGGCAAGTAAAGATAGGGTTTGGTATTATATTTATCACAGTCATCATTTCCCTGAATATAGTAATCATTTGGTTAATGTGTATTGAATTTTGAGGGACCTAAAATGACATAAAACAGAGTTCTGCCCTATGTCATTGCTCACCTCTTTCCTCTGGAGGAGCCAAGCATGAGAAAACTGCAGGCCCCATGGGATTTTAGTATGTCTTATTATCACTTCTTATTCCTTACCCTGTCTTGGCAAGCTTGGCCAAGATCAAAACCATACTAAAGACGAATAATAACCTTCCTTATTACACAGGAAAAACAAGTGGCCTGATAGCAAATTTGGAAAGTCACCTTAGAATTGAGAATTCTGGATGCCTGTCATGTGCTTGCTTTCTAGAATATTATCGTCCCAAAAATATTTGTTATTTTTTATATATGCTCCTGCTTCTGAAATGACTGGCTCCAATCCAAGAATAACCCTATCCAACTGTGAACTGAGTGAGGCCACTGAATTCAAGGGAAGATCACACATGGTATACTGTGTCATCTTAGTAAACAGTGAGCACCAGTAACTTCCTAGTGTATTTTCCTCTAGACTTCTTTTTCAAGCTCTCAGGTCATTGGCATTCCAGACTTCCAATCCCTTTAATGCAAATGAGTGTATATTTAACACAGTTATCATGTACTGCATGTATAGAACCAAGAGGCAGTTTATTGAACATCTTTATAGAGAAATCTTGTTGAGCTTGCAAGATCATAATTTGTATTACTCGTGAGTGTGGTTTGGTGTATGGTTTTATTTTAAATTTTGTTTTGCCTTCATAGTCTCATCTTGGGTTGTTTTTGTTTTTGTTTTTGTTTTTAGGGTTACCTAAAGGAAATCTTGAAAGAAATTGGCGTTCAGAATGTAAAAGGGACCCACAAAAACACATGGGAGCTGAAGCCAGAGTATAGGCATTATCAAGGAGAAGAAAAGAGTGATTAAGAAGACTCTTAGCCAGCATGCTAACAGAACAACTAAAGGGCGATGAGCTGAGGAAGCACCACTGATACTCAAATACTTGAGTACCATCTGTTGTAGGGGTAAAATGACTGGAACTTTAATTTCCCTAGGTAAATTTTTTAAACAATAATTCTTGTAAAGTTACTCAAGTGTTTTTTTGAGGAAAAAATTTATTTATAGGCTTGTATTAAACTAGATTATTCAGAATGGGGTGAGGGGTTGGGGGGGTTAAGAAGGTTTTTTCTTTTTATTGACTTTTAAATGTAAAACTAGGAAATGTTTTCTAAATGAGGACTCTCTGTCCTTGTTTTATCTCTGAGGATCTGAGGTGATACAAATCCAAAGTGAATGGCAAAGCAAGAAAAAAGTAGTCAACTACAGAAAGTCTTAAAAGGAATAAAAAACCAAAGTTCCTTATTCTGAAATTGTCAAAGAACAAAGCTGTCTTTATTTATTTATTTTTACAGGTGATCATGTTTCATAGTTACAACCATTAATAAAGAAGAGAGCATTTATGTTTGTACCTAAGAGAGCAGTTTTCATCATTAGCTTGCATATTTTGCCCTAGTGTTAGTGACATGAGAAATGAAAAAAATCTTGGCCAATGAGTATTTCTTTTATTTGCTTTTATTTATTTTTTAGAAGATTTATTTATTTAAGTAATCTCTACACCCAGCATGGAACTCAAACTCATGACCCCGCAATCAAGAGTCGCATGGTCTACCGACTGAGCCAACCTGGTACCCCTCTTTTATTTTGCTTTTAAAGGAATTAGAAATTAAATATTTTTCCAGTAAGTCAAGATATGTCTCCCCTGTCCAGATTATAAGCTTCTCAGAAACCAACTTTGCTCCAGAATTTTGCTGCATACTCAACTGGCAGGTATTGACTCGCCTGACAAATGATGTTGACAAACTAACAGAGGTTGTAGGGGTGAGGCTGATATGTGTTAGGCAGGCACAGAAACAAGCATCCCCACAAACAAGACCACCAAAACAAAAGAAGCTTTAACAAATTAAACACAAAAAGTTACTTTTTATTTGTTCATTTTGTCAGTTGCTTCTGTATGCTTGCAACCAAGAAGTAGCAAATGCCAAAAATTTAAGAAAATGTTATATAATTAAAGCAAATCAAGGAGAAACCTATCCATTGAGATAAATATTTTCCGATATTATTTGATTTTCAGCAGAACACCAGCATGCTGGGGTTGAGTACTACTGCAATGAGAAAATGTTTATCTTTGCATTCCCACTGTGAAATAAAATTCTGGTGAGGGAGGGTGGTCTTATTCTACCTTGTTCTGGTGCAGGAACCAGATATATCCCCCTTACCTTTCAGTTTCTGGCGGAGACTGAGTGTCAGGAAGCAGATGGATAATGGTGTGACAGATCTGTAGAGAACTGAGAATCTTGGATACCTGTCATATGCTTGGTTCATAGCATATATCTTCCCCCCAAACCTTGTCTTTTTTTGATGTTTGGTCCTGCCCTGAAACAGACCTCTGTGTCCTCTCCCTCTGTCTTTACTTTTTATGGTGACAGTGGCTGCCAGATTGAACTGTGTAGCTGCTAGCCGAGCTGTGTCTCCTCTGAGGCTCTGCTCTGGTATTTCTGCAGATCTGGTGTCTTCAGCTTAGTTTAGGTATCTTGTACCTCATCACACCTGACAGTATCTGCTCGAGTCTCTTAAACACTTGTTACCTGTTCAGTGGCATAGCTAATCTAGGCGGTAAACTGGTACCATTCCTGATTAGATTTTTTGAAATTGCTTTCCCATTTGATACTAAAATGTGGCTACTGGTAATGAAGGAGACTCTCTCTGGGTTCCTTTATTCTTTTATTTCAGAACTCTCTTACTTTATAAACATGCTTTCGACAGCCAACTATCAGGAAGGAGGAGTCCTAAGCCCTTATAACCACTGTGAGATCGAGAGAGGAAAGCTAGTAAGAAGGATACACATCTGGTGAGATGTCACATCATAAGAGCACAGGAGGGCCATGTTTCATAGGTGATTTAAACTCCGCTAGTTGCACACACTTAAGGGTTGTTTTAACCAACAAATTGTAATAAATATATTATGGTTGCTGGGCGTTGGAAAGATTTGAAATGACATGTTGCCACAGTAACTTCTAAAATGATAGATCTTAAAAAAGAAAACAGTTTTTGCTCTGTTGTATCAAAAGCAGCCCTTAAAGGAGTTCAGCACAGTTGGAGTTGTTCCTAAAGGTCTATGAACAAATTTTCTTTGGAGCTTATTTTCATCATTGTTGGTACTTGTCAGTGAAATAAGAATAAACACTTATCAGGCCCTTATGTGGCTGGCAGTGTGTTAAATGCTCTAAAATATCTCATTTTATCCTCAGAAATAGCTCTGAGAGGTAGACAATGACCGTTTTATAGAACCATTTCCTGCCCAACACACTGTCATGAGACCTGATCCCTCTTTGAGGAGAATTCTACCTTTGGGCCAAAGTGAATACCAGAGTTTACGTTTCCAGAAACCTTTCCCCACACACACAAATCCTCCCCTCCAGGAAAATGATGCAGACCCCAGAAGAAGTTGTGAGAGCAAAGGAGTTTGTCTTTGGCATCTCTAATACAAACACAGGATGAAAACTGAGCTCCCTCCTTTAAAGTCAAGATCCCCCTGCTAAAATTTTCCTCCCTGCTACACTTCAAGTACCCAGGTAGGGTGCACACCTTAAGAATGGCCTTCTTCGACCTCCATAGGAGTTAAGGACCCCTGTGGAATGTGATAGGAGGCTGGGGCACTGTGCTGAGGGGCACTGCCTTATAGTCAGCCTTCATGGGGCTGGGAACCCACCTTTCATCCCAATACATTGGCCATTTTCCCTAGCATTTGTGTCAGAGTCCAGGAGATGATAAGCTGGTTTTCTTTTCAACTCAGTTTTCTTTCTGAAGTGGGTCAGAGCAGCTTCTTAAGCCTAATATTTTTATGTGTAGGAGGAATCAGAGATTGCTTTTTAATCTTCCTTTTCTTCACGTATTTCCATCTTTTCTTCTTCCTACTTCCTGGTCTTTGAGCAAGTACCACCATCCATAGTACACTAGTACCATGTAAATCTGATTGACGGCGGCATAAGCCTTTAATAGTTTATTATAAGAAAATCAACAGCTTTTATCTGACTTTGTTAGAAATCATCTAAATTAACAAGGACATTTTAGATGCTTTAGCTTCCAGTTTAAACTAGATTCTGTCAGATCAGTTAGTCTTAAATTTTAGGTTTCTCTTTTTTTTTTAAGATTTTATTTATTTGACAGAGACACAGCGAGAGAGGGAACACGAGCAGGGGGAGTGGGAGAGGGAGAAGCAGGCTTCCTGCTGAGCAGGGAGCCTGATGTAGGGCTCAGTCCCAGGACCCTGGCGAGCTGAAGGCAGATGCTCAACGACTGAGCCACCCAGGTACCCCAAATTTTAGGGTTTTAAAGAACGATTTTCTTAAAGTGCACCATATTTTTAAATGTTGAAATTTGTATTTAAAATCTTAAGATACGAGATTTTTATTGTCTTGTGGAAATCTAAGTACACCAGAAGATATGTTGCTGGACTAAACACCGTAGTGTGGCATGGTCATGGAGCACAGTGGTGGTTTATTGGCAAGTATTTACCGACCATGATTATATCCCAGGCACTGTGGATACTAAAGTGCTAGACATAAGAGGCGTTCACAGTCTAGTGGGAAATAGAGAATGTAGATGGATACAACAGTGTGTGGGTAGAGAAGTGTGAACTGAGTGTTGTAATCAATCAGAATATTCCAGTTAATTCGTTGTTGCCATTTATGTTCTACATGAATTTCCAATTTTTAAAGCATTTGAATGCAGTAATAGATACTTAATTTTAACTTCTTTGAATATAATTTGACCATTGAAAATTCCTAAAACACAAGAGGATTTGTACAATGCCTAAGGATCATTATTATGAACACATACGGTGGATGTCTGTAATACATCGATCTCGTTAATAGAATGCTAAATTGAAGGGCTCACGGAGCTAGTCCTTGTGACATGTAAGCCTTATTTCTACTTCATACATTTCTTACCTACATTTCTACTTCTTATTTCTTCTTCTTACATTCTATTTTCTCTCCTTGTTGAACAAAAGCCTGGGAAACAAAAGCCTCGTTCTGTGAAAACCCACTAAAATGCCCCCTGTGTGCCAGGCACCAGGAGCAAAGGTTGATGGGTGTCTGTAATAATGTGCCTTACATGCCAGCAGTTCTCTGCCTATGTTACTAAATAAGCAGGAAGAATAATAGCTTTTGTTTAGTGGACCTTTGCTGTATGCCAGGCACTGTGCTAAAAGCATTTGACTCCTATTCCTCATTGAATCCTCACAACAGCGCTAAAATATGGGTCTCTTTCTGCCTTTGTTTTATAGATGTGGAATATCAGGTCCTGAAAGGTTGAAGAACCTAACCAAGGTCATAACCAAGGTAGTCAGGGGCAGAGCCAGATTCAAATCCCAGAAGAACACTCAGCAGTGCAGGCTCTTAGTTACTATTATGTGTATGAAGTGTACTTTTATGGGTCCCATGCTGCTGATTGCCCTTAGCTGTAATTCACCTGCCCAGAGTCTCCCGTTGGGTTTTTTGTTGTTTGTTTTATTGTTATTAATATTACTGAGGTGTAATTGACCTATAATTCTTTTGTATTTGACTTCTTACGAATGGGTAGCAAAGTCTCAAGTTATCTTTCTTGAATCTAAAGAGAGTTAATTCTGGATTCTACCTGAGTTGTTTTGCCTTTAGAGGTTAGTTTCCAATTTTTTTTTTTTTAAGATTTTATTTATTTGACAGACACAGCAAGAGAGGGAACACAGGCAGGGGGAGTGGGAGAGGGAGAAGCAGGCTTCCCGCTGAGCAGGGAACCCGATGCGGGGTTCGATCCCAGGACCCTGAGATCATGACCCAAGCCGAAGGCAGACGCTTAACCAACTGAGCCACCCAGGCGCCCCTAGTTTCCAGTTTTTGTTGAGGTTCTGGAGTTTCTTACGGAATGATGTTCCTTTTTTTTTTCTCAGCTCTAGATGCAGATGAGATATTTCCCAGGAATGACTGCAGATGGCCAATGTACTTGATTTACTTACATTCTAGACCACTCAGGCTTATGAGAAAGTTGTGATTTGGCTGGTCACAGTTGAGGGTCTCTGCCATGGCCTCGTAAGCACACAGGAAGTCCATCAGTTTGGGACTGCTCAGTAATGGGGATACAGAGCTCAATACCAACAGGCCCTTGCTTCCAGACACTCCCAGTATTGGAGAGGACTTGGAGGCAAACAAATAGCCAACATAGTGTATCAAGTGCAGCAATAGAAACACATGGCAGAATGTTTTAAGAGCTACATGGATTCAAAGTAAGTCACTTAGAGCAAGTTGTTTGCTTTGTGTTCCTCTTAGTTTCA